AAAGCTCTCTGAACAGTATAGATAATACCTAAAATAATACCAATGACAACAATTCATGTTCATTAAGGGTTATTTGAGAGGAGATTAGTAAGACTATAGAAAAGATTTTCCTTTCTTGGTTGCACATGTGGAAAACAAGATAAAAAATATGATGAATAAAGGCAACAGTGGCCATGAGGAGAACAGTGAGCTTAATACATAGCCTTGCTCAGAGTTCACTAGGTCACTAAAAAAGGGTGACCGTGATGACTTTGTGCAGCTTTTGAAAGGGGCACAGCAACAATCACATGTAATAGCAAACCCCAGGGTTTTGTGCTCTTCCAGGGTTCTGTCCTCCTTCCAGCTGCCCTGGATTCCCATTGGTGGTATTCTGATTAGGGTGAATTTGGAAGACTGTGCAATGATATGTTTCATTCTTTTGGCACTGAAGAGTACCGTACATCTGCAAATAGATGTTTCTCTTTTGTTAAACTTTTGTGTGAAATAACAGTGAAGACTCGGTGCATGCAAATTTGTTAAACCTCTCTTTCTCTACAGTCAGTTTTATTCATTTTGGGGTGATTACTGATCCATTTGTTCCAGCATTTGGTGAGTGTATGTGTTGGAGAAAAGTGAAGTTTGGCATCCAGAGTTCGGCATTCTGATAGCACACTAAGGAAAAAGCTTCTGAACTGTGTAGAATCTACAGTTAACCTTCCAAGGGTTTCAGATTAATATTATTTGTACTGTTACGACTTTTCTCAAGGGATCTCTTGATTTTATTGTGCGTTTACTTTTTTGTTTCAAAACTGTTCACTGTCTAAAAGCACAACCTTGTTCTTTCCATATGCCCTTGTCCATAATGTGTTTTCATTTTCCTGATAATTTTACCATATTCAATATTTATGTGTGATATACTTTGACACTTTGCATATGGATGCTCTGCTTCCCTTGACAAACATCTAATCCGTCTTCCGTTCTTTTGTAACTCAGTCAGGTAGCTGGGCCTCTAATTGCATCTCCATTGCTTGGAAGAGAAGAGATTTGCACAAATAAAGACTCACCGTTAGTGATTTTCTTTGCAGCCTGACTGTTGGCAATCAATTCCTGCTACTGGAGCCTGCCCCAGTTCTTTAGCACGTTTTTACATCCCTATGGTTGTTTGGACAGCGTCTTCATTCCACCTAAACTAGAGATTTCTGTAATATTGACTTGATCTGACTCTGGAAATTTGAGACAGTACCTGAAGTAGATTATGTGTTTGAGGAGATGTTGCTTTTCCCTGTGACGGTTAGTCTGAGGACCAATTTTTTTATGTAAGGGGAAACGACATTCTCCTGCATGAAAGTTCAGCCATTTCTGAGCCTTATGTTTTTTCTTTCAAGTGGTAATACCATGGCATCCATGACCTCTGTGGACAGTAAGCCACATAACTGGGATAAATTAGTGTTTTAATAATACAACTTTCTTACCATTCCACTTGCATTTCAAGCCCACTGTGATGATCTTTTACTATTAATCACAGACATTTAAAAAATCAGATAAGTCTGAAAGGCTTGTCTTGAGAAACTCATAAATCTTACATGATCCCTCCTCTTCCTACTCTGGAGAAGGCTATATTTTATCTGTAATTTGCAGAGAGTTGTGTTGGTCAGGGAGACTGTGGTGAATGCAGAAATTGAATTAAATCATCTTGAATTCTGGTCCTGAGCCATGGGCTCCAGGTTGTCCTTCCTAGTTTAAACAAATATTTGATGTAAGCTCATAAATTGATCACATTTAATCTCAGCTTCTGCTTAGATGAACCCAACTCCTTTGAAGGCAGGGGACCTGCATTCTTTTTACCCCCAAGAGTCTGCCACTGTTTCACAATTCACAAAAAACCCTATGTGCTTCTTTGTTGTTATATTTTATTACTAATATTGGTCAGGCTAGCTCGATAGACCTCAATCAAATAAAGTATAATTCGCACAAGTGAGAATCAGAGTAGAGTTAGCTAAAAAACCCCAATATCTAAGCAGACAAACATATCAAATGTCAAAATTTACGTTTCATCAGTTTTTAGAAAATAGGGTACAGTTTGACACTGTAATATCAAACAGTTTATACAGTAATTTTAACAGTTTAGCTCTGACATTAAGGTGCTGGCTTGCCGCAGTCATATAGCAGTGATTTCAGTACTGAAGAATCATGTAATTGTTTTATAAATACTCATTGTGCCAGAAGGAGAAGTGAAGTCTAGCAAACCTTGAAGTCTAGCATTGTTCCACCCCTTGTTAAGAGTCGTGCTCTGTTGTTTACATTAATCTCCAGTAAAAAATATTTTCAGGAATAGCTCTCTGGATGCAGAAGTAAAACTTTCATGGTATCATGTATTGGTGGTGCGTTATCACTGATAGTCACTTTCTGCTCTTAGTCTGTCATACAGTGAATGTTACTGTAAAACCTGTGGGCATACCTCACAACTTAGTGCAAAATAATAGGAGACAAAACATCCAGGTTTACTTCTCTGCCCTATCAAGAAGGATTTATTTGTGGAAAAGTGCTTTTCCCAAGAGCTAACTTTACAATATCTCATTCTGTTGTTGTGGGTGCTAGAGTTCAACAAAGCAAGCAGAATTGTACACACGAAGAGTGGGTGAATACTCCAGGTATAAAGCCACCTGTCTTGCCAGACCATGCTCAGGGCTTAACTCCATCCTAGGGCAAAGAACTTGGCAGCCTGGGTCTCCTGCTGTCTGCAGTAGATCCTGGCCTTTTTGCCATGCTGGGCTGCTGAGAAGTCCCCCAGCATTCACGCTGCCAGCAGTGTCTGCAAGGGGAAGAACATAGCTTCCACAAGCAACCATTGCCTGCCTGCTCCTCTGGGGTCTTTGGAGGGGACTTGCATTACCCACCCTTGTCCTGCTGCTCTGCAGGACCCCTCACCTTCCCTGGTGCTGACAGTGCTGCTGGGCAGGTGCAGGACCCTGACATGATGGTGGCCATCGGGATGTGGGTAACAGGTCTGCAGCAGAGAGCCTGCCTGGTATGGGCAGGGACCTGCACAGAGTCTCTGCTCACGTCGCAGGCGAGTCCCTCCAAACCCTGTGTGTGCAGCTGAGCTGTGAGGGGATAGAACTGATGGTATTAGTGATTAGTTTGTTCCTGATCAGCCATTCCTTACTTGCAAAATGCTACTGCTGGCCAGTGTCTGCACCGTATGCAGGACCATGACGAACTACGTAGTATAGCTATTTCCCCCACTCCAGTCTGAGTGCAGTTTTACCATAAAAAACTAACATAAGGGCTTCATCAACACACACCAAAGCCGAGCTGGAGACTAGCTTGCTATGTCACAGACTTTAAGGGAGTAAGGGGAAGAAAGTGCACTTGGGGGTGAAGTGAAGCAGCAGATTTTACGCAGAAAGAATAGCCAGATCATTTTCCTTTGGAGAAGGAGGAATAAATCCTAGGAATGCTGGAAGACCAGAAGTGTGGCCAGAAAGTGTGGGTGCAGCCTGCGTTTGGAAGGTTTTTGTCACAAAATCCATTTCGGCAAGGTCACATGGACCAGTAAGAGTGAGCATGTTATTCTTTTTTTCATTTTCAGGTTTTTCTCTCCTCCAGTTACGTGAAAGCTGGATTTCTATAAGGTTCCTGAGAGAGCGGGCATCTCTTTTCTCTTTTTTATTTTTTTTGAGATTTCCACTCTAAAGTGTTTTCTTCTAATATTTTAACTGGCAGAGATATCTGCCTTACTCCCTGTAAGGACTCCCCTTGGCTCCAAAATCAAAACTTCTCTAAGGCAAAAAAGAATCTACCAGGACTTCTCCTGATTTATAATTTCACAGAAGAATTTGTAATCTGAGTGAGAAAATGGCTTGTCAAAAAGATGCTGAATTTTTTTTGAGAACTCTGGGCCCTGCTTCCCCTCTCGTGCTAGTTTGGAAGATGATTCAGTATATGAAAGTGTACCCTTGAATGTAGACTGGAGGTTATGTGCATAACTTTAGGTAATGAGACATCTACTGATCCTAGATTTCCCAGCAGTTAATTTAACAGGGACTTTTTTAAGTGTAGAAGCCCTTTCAGATGAGTAATTCAGCTCTGGACGAGACATAGCACTGGAGACCATACATCCAGTAGGGAACACTCTGACTGCAGCAGGAATGATATATGAGACATAAAACCAGAGGCCTCCTTGTCTCACAGTAATTCCTGTGGGCTCGTTCCTGAAGTCCTGAATCAGCAACCTTCACACTGACTCTAGTGGGTTTGACTCAAACCAGAAAGGGGCATAAACTGTTGTCTCTGGGAAGAAATCCTAGAGTGGGATTCCAAATCCCTTTTTGATAGGATGAGCCTTGCTCACCCAGCTCTGGCCTGGTCCCGATGTGGAAAGAAGATGGCCAGTAATGATGGACGATCCATGGTGGTGTTTTAGCTTCAGTCAGGAGGGAGCTTTGTCAGAAAATCATTTTTCTGTTACTGTCCTCGTTTGGGTGCACATTATGGACATATCTCATAGTACCCAGACCGAATTGCTTTCAGAGAGAGAGATGGGCAGAGCAGTGCTGCCCGAGTGTGAGTGAACAGAGACCCCCAAACTCTTACCCTTTTGCTCACTTATCTACAAGCTGAATATGTGGGCAAAGTAGGGTAATAAATTTATGATAAATGGAACAAAAGGGACATGAAATAGAGTTTCTAGCCCAGAACATTATGGCGGACTTGGCTGTATCTCAAATTAACTTGCTTTTTTCTTCATCTAGGTGAACTTGTTTTTCTTAGGCTGTTTTTGTTTGCTTCACGGACATTTTTGACTGCAGGTTATCTTAGTAGATAGAAATAACCCTTTCTTTGTGCGAGTTATGCTTTTGCACACTAAATAATCAAGGCTGAAACAGTCTTTGCAATGCTTACTTATCCACTATTTTGTAGTTGCAGTCTGCCTATATGATAAGGTATTATTCATCAACTACCTGTGAATCACAAACTCCTGTGCTATTTTTCTCCATTGCAGATATCACCGTTGTCCACATCTTCACACCAGGCCTTATGACGAGAGTGAGAAATCATGCATGTTATCAGAGTACATGGAACAATACCCCCTTTATCCTGCCACTCTTCCCAGAGGCTCATTTAAGCCGAAGGAAGCATACAAGACGGCGCAGATACCCATGGATGGCATCTCAACTACAAAGTATGAAAAGTACTGAGAGTGAGGACTGTGACTTACATAACGTGTGTGAGAGAGATATGTAACAGAGAAAAATGATCGGTTTTCACAAGGGGAGCCTGAAAAGAGCAGTGTTGTTGTACAAACACTCATGAGGGCTCTCTGAAGCAAGGATGAAGGTCTGAGGCCAGCTATTGTAGTGGAGGCAAGCAGCTATTTTTCTTGCACTTCCTGGAGGTTGAGTTGTGATCTGATCAGATCCTACAGCATGGGCTGTAGGAGCACAGTAATGGTCTTGTCTTTTGCTCAATTTCCATTTCGGGAAGGCTTCTGGGAAACCAGCAGAGATGTTGTCTGGGAAAGTATGGATGGTAGAGATGTAATTTTCTTTTGTTCTGTGTTTTGTGTGTGTTGTAGTCTTGCTGTGGCTCTGCTGCCCCTCCCCCCGCTGGGGTGCGGAGGAGAATGGAAAGAAAGAGGCAGAAACTGGTGGGTCGGGATAAGGGCAGTTTAACAGAACAGCAAACAAAGGGAACAGTAACAACAACGATACAGATAAGGAGTATACACAAAACAAAACAGCAGAATACAGAGAGCAACTCTCACCACCCGCTGCCACCACGTGCTCCCGAGCCGCAAGTGAGTTCCCGTCGCCCCGCTCCCCACCCCCGCAACCCCACATGACGGCACATGGTATGGAATACCCTGCTCTGTTTGGCCAGGTGGGGTCAGCCCACCCAGCTGTGGAGTCCCTTCCTGGCTTCTGGTGAGAATTAACCCTGTCCTGGCCGAAACCAGGACATTATCCCCCCCTTATTCCATACCATCTACGTC